CCAGAACAGATTCCAATTATTTACAAAGAGCAGTTTTTGTTCATTACACAATGACATTAACCATTCATTTAGTGCAAATAATCTACTGAACCTTTCCTGTCCTTGTCGGTACGTGGGAAGCGGTCCAGACACGATGATCGTTGCCTCAGGCGCTGTGCTGCATACCGCCTCGATCAGGCTCCTGTAGTCCTTCTTCAGAACCTCCGTCTGCCGCAGCCTGATATCGTTTGTTCCAGCGTGAAGCACCACAGCTCCGACGCGCTCTTCACCGTTCAGGATCTCGGGAACCTGTGCGGCGACATCAAGTACACGAGCACCAGGAAGGCAGTGAGTGCGCACCTTACCCTTACCTGAGGTAGCGCGGACATGACGGACCATGGAAGTGCCGATGATCACGGCGTCGTCGCGTTCTGACTCGCGAAGAGGGGAGAAGCGGTTCCGGGTGGAGATCTCGAAGACCGGGAGGGGCGGAGAGGTTCTTGCTCTGGTCCTGGCTCGTGTCTTCCGCTGTGGGATCACCCAGGGTCCATGGTGTTGGGTTGGTGCCGGAGTGAATGATGCCAGAGATGATCGCGTCCTCCTGGGCAGAGAAACGCACGGAGTAGAAGAAGTCGGAGTCAAAAAGTTACTAACCACTGACTTGTGTGCATCGGCGCGTGACGTTTCAAGCGCTGATCGCCGATCCCGCAGCTCGGCTTGCCTCTCCAGCAGACCACGGATCTGTTTCTCCACCGATTCCAGTTCCAATCGTACCGAAATAAGTTCGAATGTGTCCTCACCTGCACTCAGAGGTAACGTTAGACACACATCCGATATGTTCGCCATAACAGATGAACAGTAGATTAGTAGTGATACTACCAATATCACTAGTAATTTAGGACTGAAATGCCGGATATAACCTGTATCCTTTCAGTGAAACGGGTGTAAAATCAGACGGTCAATAGGCGCGAGCCCACGCGTGAAATGCTAGCGGACTAAAGGCTAGTAGCCGAGATTCGCAAAGTTGGGTCTAAGTAGCGATATCAAAGCAATCCGATTGTTTTTTTATAAGGAATAGTATCGAGGATAAGTTCCCATGATATAAAAATAGAAAGTGCTTGTTTATAAATGAGTGGTAAAGAAGAAAATCAAGGATTAATGAATTGATTCGACGGAGCTTTCAAACACAAACGCCGACTGCTCGCGCATGCGCAATACACTGACAACAGGGCCGCCAACCCATAACAACCCATAAGTGTTGTGCCCGTGTTGTGCCCGTGTTGTGCCCGTGTTGTGCGAGTGTTGTGCGGGTGTTGTGCCCGTGTTGTGCCCGTGTTGTGCGAGTGTTGTGCCCGTGTTGTGCGAGTGTTGTGCCCGTGTTGTGCGCGTGTTGTGCGAGTGTTGTGCGAGTGTTGTGCCCGTGTTGTGCCCGTGTTGTGCGCGTGTTGTGCCCGTGTTGTGCGAGTGTTGTGCCCGTGTTGTGCGCGTGTTGTGCGAGTGTTGTGCGAGTGTTGTGCCCGTGTTGTGCCCGTGTTGTGCGAGTGTTGTGCCCGTGTTGTGCGAGTGTTGTGCCCGTGTTGTGCCCGTGTTGTGCGAGTGTTGTGCCCGTGTTGTGCGCGTGTTGTGCGAGTGTTGTGCGAGTGTTGTGCGGGTGTTGTGCCCGTGTTGTGCGCGTGTTGTGCCCGTGTTGTGCGAGTGTTGTGCCCGTGTTGTGCGCGTGTTGTGCCCGTGTTGTGCGAGTGTTGTGCGGGTGTTGTGCGGGTGTTGTGCGCGTGTTGTGCCCGTGTTGTGCGAGTGTTGTGCCCGTGTTGTGCGCGTGTTGTGCGAGTGTTGTGCGAGTGTTGTGCGGGTGTTGTGCCCGTGTTGTGCGAGTGTTGTGCCCGTGTTGTGCGCGTGTTGTGCGAGTGTTGTGCGAGTGTTGTGCGGGTGTTGTGCCCGTGTTGTGCGCGTGTTGTGCCCGTGTTGTGCGAGTGTTGTGCCCGTGTTGTGCGCGTGTTGTGCCCGTGTTGTGCGAGTGTTGTGCCCGTGTTGTGCGCGTGTTGTGCGAGTGTTGTGCGAGTGTTGTGCGGGTGTTGTGCCCGTGTTGTGCGCGTGTTGTGCCCGTGTTGTGCGAGTGTTGTGCCCGTGTTGTGCGCGTGTTGTGCGAGTGTTGTGCCCGTGTTGTGCGCGTGTTGTGCCCGTGTTGTGCGAGTGTTGTGCCCGTGTTGTGCGCGTGTTGTGCCCGTGTTGTGCCCGTGTTGTGCGGGTGTTGTGCGGGTGTTGTGCGCGTGTTGTGCGCGTGTTGTGCGGGTGTTGTGCGGGTGTTGTGCGGGTGTTGTGCGGGTGTTGTGCGCGTGTTGTAGTAGTAGCCTTTATTGTCATTGGTCACAAGTACCAACGAAATTAGCCATCAACCTGTCCATACAAAAATACATACAATATGACAAGGGGGTAGACAGGACAGGAAGACAGAGCATTTAGGAAGAAAATACAGCATAACATGAGGAGAGGTGAGGAGAAAAAAAAGGCAACCCCCAGACTATGCTCCTGTGTGGAGTACAGTTTGGGAACAGCAAAAAAAAAACCTCAGCAACATTTGCACATAATCAGTACACTCTACAAACATGAACACACAAGACTTGCAACAGGGGAGGGGAGTGGGGGATGGAGGTAACCCAGCTCAGACAGGTATCCGTCCGGACCTGCAGCCATTCTCGGCGCTGGTCACAGACCCGCCTGTCAGACTGGTGGTACAAAGCGTTGAAGGCGAGGGATGGGGGGTGGGGGGGTGATTGCATATCTGTATATATGTAAGAGTTCGTGTATGTGTAGGCCTGGAGAGTCACTATGCCTGGCATCATAATCTTAGTGCCTCAAGTCCGCAGGATTGTCATAGCGATACACAGCAAGTTGCCATGGAGACAACCCTGATCATGTCCCAGACAGAGTCAACAATCAGCAGGTGTCTGTGGGGAGTGGGGGAAGGAATGCAAGAGCGTCTCACTGCAGTGCTCTTCCGGAGGAGTTGTTGTTCCAACAGCGGCCTTGGCCAAGGCCAGTGCTGGATGAGGGGGGCCGAAAGCAGATAAGATTGGGATTGTTTGGTCTTGGGACGAGTAGCCGCATTCCGATTTACACAGCCCCTGGTCCATTTTGGTCTCCGAAACGATCCATTTGCCTTTGCAGAGCTGTGAGCTTCTCCATGATGTTATCCATATAGTGGTTCATAGTCACAGTCTGAGTGCTGACAGCTCTGCCCACTGCTTCAATCATGACGGGCAGCCTTGTAGAGCTTTGGACAGCTGTCGCCGACTTCTTAATTTCTCGATAAACCAGGGCAATGCCTAATCCAATCAGCAGAAAACCTGTTATCATGGTTCCGAATAGGTAGATATCTTCAATGTCCTCCACGGAAAGAGCCGCCAGACACACGACCCGCCACCTCTCCCACGCGTCCATCGTGTAGCCAGCTGCGAACGTTCCGGCAGGGCAGTCAGGTTCCTCCGAACCCAAGCTTCTCGTCGAGAAGATGGTGTCAATTGCGTTGAGAGACCAGTTGATCAAATCCATAATTTCTTAGTTTGGAGAGCAGTGCGGAGAGAGTCTCTCAAAAAGTACAAGACAGTAGACTAGACGAGCAGTGTTGTGCGCGTGTTGTGCGCGTGTTGTGCGCGTGTTGTGCGCGTGTTGTGCGAGTGTTGTGCGGGTGTTGTGCGCGTGTTGTGCGCGTGTTGTGCGGGTGTTGTGCGCGTGTTGTGCGCGTGTTGTGCACGTGTTGTGCGCGTGTTGTGCGCGTGTTGTGCGGGTGTTGTGCCCGTGTTGTGCGGGTGTTGTGCGCGTGTTTTGCGAGTGTTGTGCGTGTGTTGTGCCCGTGTTGTGCGGGTGTTGTGCGCGTGTTTTGCGAGTGTTGTGCGGGTGTTTTGTGTTGTGCCCGTGTTGTGCGTGTGTTGTGTGTTGTGCCCGTGTTGTGCGCGTGTTTTGCGAGTGTTGTGCGTGTGTTTTGTGTTGTGCGAGTGTTGTGCGCGTGTTGTGCGTGTGTTGTGTGTTGTGCCCGTGTTGTGCGCGTGTTTTGCGAGTGTTGTGCGTGTGTTGTGTGTTGTGCGAGTGTTGTGCGGGTGTTGTGCCCGTGTTGTGCGCGTGTTGTGTGTTGTGCGAGTGTTGTGCGAGTGTTGTGCGCGTGTTGTGCGTGTGTTGTGTGTTGTGCCCGTGTTGTGCGCGTGTTTTGCGAGTGTTGTGCGTGTGTTGTGTGTTGTGCGAGTGTTGTGCGAGTGTTGTGCCCGTGTTGTGCGGGTGTTGTGCGCGTGTTTTGCGAGTGTTGTGCGTGTGTTGTGCCCGTGTTGTGCGGGTGTTGTGCCCGTGTTGTGCGGGTGTTGTGCGCGTGTTTTGCGAGTGTTGTGCGTGTGTTGTGCCCGTGTTGTGCGGGTGTTGTGCGCGTGTTTTGCGAGTGTTGTGCGTGTGTTGTGTGTTGTGCGAGTGTTGTGCGAGTGTTGTGCCCGTGTTGTGCGGGTGTTGTGCGCGTGTTTTGCGAGTGTTGTGCGTGTGTTGTGCCCGTGTTGTGCGGGTGTTGTGCGCGTGTTTTGCGAGTGTTGTGCGGGTGTTTTGTGTTGTGCCCGTGTTGTGCGTGTGTTGTGTGTTGTGCCCGTGTTGTGCGCGTGTTTTGCGAGTGTTGTGCGTGTGTTTTGTGTTGTGCGAGTGTTGTGCGCGTGTTGTGCGTGTGTTGTGTGTTGTGCCCGTGTTGTGCGCGTGTTTTGCGAGTGTTGTGCGTGTGTTGTGTGTTGTGCGAGTGTTGTGCGGGTGTTGTGCCCGTGTTGTGCGCGTGTTGTGTGTTGTGCGAGTGTTGTGCGAGTGTTGTGCGCGTGTTGTGCGTGTGTTGTGTGTTGTGCCCGTGTTGTGCGCGTGTTTTGCGAGTGTTGTGCGTGTGTTGTGTGTTGTGCGAGTGTTGTGCGAGTGTTGTGCGGGTGTTGTGCCCGTGTTGTGCGCGTGTTGTGCGTGTGTTGTGTGTTGTGCTGTGTTTGAGTGGTCAGGGATGTTCTCTGCCGCAGGTGTTCGCTCGGATGCCATGTGTCAGAGCAGCGCTAACGCCGTGTTCACCCAGATGAGCGCGAGCTTGCACAGCCTCCACGACGTCACCACAGGTGTGTGTTCCGGCGCGATCAGAGCTTTATAAGAGTCTGGGCTCGTGTGTAAGTCTGCTGTCTCCTCAGAGCTGTGCACACACTACAGTCAGAAGGTTTCCCTGGAGCAGGAGCTGCCGACCGCCACACAGAAGCTGCGCACCACCAACGAGTGTCTGCTGGCGTCTCTGGCGGCCCTCACCAGCAGCTGCGGCAAGGTCACACACACACACCGCTCGTCACACACACACCGCTCTTCACACACACACACCGCTCTTCACACACACACACCGCTCTTCACACACACACCGCTCTTCACACACACACACACCGCTCGTCACACACACCTCTCTTCACACACACACCGCTCGTCACACACACACCGCTCTTCACACACACACACCGCTCTTCACACACACACTGCTCTTCACACACACACCGCTCATCACACACACACTTCTCTTCACACACACACCGCTCTTCACACACACACTTCTCTTCACACACACACCGCTCTTCACACACACACCGCTCTTCACACACACACCGCTCTTCACACACACACCTCTCTTCACACACACACCGCTCGTCACACACACACCGCTCTTCACACACACACCGCTCTTCACACACACACACCGCTCATCACACACACACACCTCTCTTCACACACACACCGCTCGTCACACACACACACCTCTCTTCACACACACACCGCTCGTCACACACACACCGCTCTTCACACACACACTGCTCTTCACACACACACTGCTCTTCACACACACACCGCTCGTCACACACACACTTCTCTTCACACACACACCGCTCTCACGCTTTACAACTATGGGATGAATTTAGTCTAAAATGTATTAATAAATGCATGCACAATTATCCATGAACTTCATAAATGTTGCAGGAATGTTTTACTCTCCACAACCAAAGCCTTTCAACTTGCGTTTGCAAACTTCTGAATTAAATGTATGTGCAGCAATTTGTACAAATAGAGACATTTCTGTGAATACAAATGTTTTCTTTTGTATTAGTGCATCATAATGTGTGCATGCAACACAGATGCGCGTGTGGATCAGGTGACGCGTGTTCATTCATTAAGGCAATCTCATTTGATTCATTTTGGATTACTTTTTTTTTTTTTAAGCATTTCCCAACCCACACACAAACAACTACAGATGGAACGGCCTGGTGCTAGTTATTCAATTCTGCACAAATATCCCTCTATTTGACCAATTTACACATGTGCGTAACTACATTTAACAACACTTGTGGTCCCGGCCAACCCAACACTTCATCACAACTCCTCCATTCAGCTAGGCTCGTCATCCATAACTCCATCAAGGTCAGCTAGGAACCTTGGGGTTGTAATTGATGATCAGTTGAAATTCACAGACCACATTGCTAGAACTGCCCGGTCCTGCAGATTTGCCTTGCACAACATTAGGAGGATCAGGCCCTTCCTTACAGAGCATGCCACACAACTCCTTGTCCAAGCACTTGTTTTATCCAGACTGGACTATTGTAATGCTCTCCTGGCTGGTCTTCCAGCTTGCTCTGTCAAACCTCTACAATTGATCCAGAATGCTGCAGCCAGAGTAGTCTTCAATGAGCCGAAGAGAGCACACGTCACTCCTCTCCTCACACAATTGCACTGGTTGCCAGTTGCCGCTCGCATTAAATTCAAGGCACTGACGTTTGCCTACAGAACAACCACTGGCACTGCTCCCTCTTACCTAAACTCATTACTTCAGACTTATGTGCCATCCAGAAACCTGCGCTCTGCTAGCGAATGTCGTCTTGTGGTACCATCTCAAAGAGGCACAAAATCTCTTTCTCGGACCTTTACCATGGCTGTTCCCTGTTGGTGGAACGATCTGCCTAACTCAACCAGAGCTTCTGAGTCAGTAGCCACTTTCAAGAAACTGCTGAAGACATATCTTTTTCGGCAGCACTTGATTCAGTAGAATTAACACTTTCTCTTCTCTTCTATTCTATAAAAAAAAAAAAAAAAAAACTGCACTAAAATTAAACTGAGAGGGGATATAGCGGTTACATATTGTTGTCCTACTGTTAGTTTAACTGCTTCTATTGTTCTCATTTGTAAGTCGCTTTGGATAAAAGCGTCTGCTAAATGAATAAATGTAAATGTAAACTAATACTTTACAACTTGTGTGAGCAAAGTCCAGAATTACATGAATTTGTATCATTTTTCACAAATAAAAACATAGTTGTAATACAAAACCTGGATTTTGTGTGAACCCCTGTGGTCGGCGGTCGCGCCGGCACGATCACCTCGCTTTCAGTGCGAAAGAGACTCTAACTCCGTCGATTTGTGTTATACGGGCAAGTGTTATGCACCATTCAAAACTGTTAAATGTCCACTTTTAATTGTGTAGACTCATAAAAAAACCAAAATGTTTTGCTTTTCATAAAATAAACACAATGCGCGTTCTGCCTTCTCTCTCAGTGTGAAGTTCATTCTGAATCGTGACAGAACTAACTCTTGCCACATACATGAGAGATATGTCTTTAGAAAGCTTGAAGTGTCTATTTTTAAATTACGTAAATCATATCAAAAACAAATATGCTCTGTTTAAGTAATCATTATGAAAGCAACGAGATGTACAGTTTCTCAAGCGCCTGCTCATTATATCTGTGATCACACACACGCGTGCACCAGCGGTTCACAGGCGTATAGTCCACGTGATTATCTCTAATGTGACCACACACACGCGTGCACCAGCGGTTCACAGGCGTATAGTCCGCGTGATTATCTCTAATGTGACCACACACACGCGTGCACCAGCGGTTCACAGGCGTATAGTCCACGTGATTATCTCTAATGTGACCACACACACGCGTGCACCAGCGGTTCACAGGCGTATAGTCCACGTGATTATCTCTAATGTGACCACACACACGCGTGCACCAGCGGTTCACAGGCGTATAGTCCGCGTGATTATCTCTAATGTGACCACACACACGCGTGCACCAGCGGTTCACAGGCGTATAGTCCACGTGATTATCTCTAATGTGACCACACACACGCGTGCTCCAGCGGTTCACAGGCGTATAGTCCGCGTGATTATCTCTAATGTGACCACACACACGCGTGCTCCAGCGGTTCACAGGCGTATAGTCCACGTGATTATCTCTAATGTGACCACACACACGCGTGCTCCAGCGGTTCACAGGCGTATAGTCCACGTGATTATCTCTAATGTGACCACACACACGCGTGCTCCAGCGGTTCACAGGCGTATAGTCCACGTGTTTATCTCTAATGTGACCACACACACGCGTGCACCAGCGGTTCACAGGCGTATAGTCCACGTGATTATCTCTAATGTGACCACACACACGCGTGCTCCAGCGGTTCACAGGCGTATAGTCCGCGTGATTATCTCTAATGTGATCACACACACGCGTGCACCAGCGGTTCACAGGCGTATAGTCCACGTGATTATCTCTAATGTGATCACACACACGCGTGCACCAGCGGTTCACAGGCGTATAGTCCACGTGATTATCTCTAATGTGACCACACACACGCGTGCACCAGCGGTTCACAGGCGTATAGTCCGCGTGATTATCTCTAATGTGACCACACACACGCGTGCACCAGCGGTTCACAGGCGTATAGTCCACGTGATTATCTCTAATGTGACCACACACACGCGTGCTCCAGCGGTTCACAGGCGTATAGTCCACGTGATTATCTCTAATGTGACCACACACACGCGTGCACCAGCGGTTCACAGGCGTATAGTCCACGTGATTATCTCTAATGTGACCACACACACGCGTGCACCAGCGGTTCACAGGCGTATAGTCCGCGTGATTATCTCTAATGTGACCACACACACGCGTGCACCAGCGGTTCACAGGCGTATAGTCCGCGTGATTATCTCTAATGTGACCACACACACGCGTGCACCAGCGGTTCACAGGCGTATAGTCCACGTGATTATCTCTAATGTGACCACACACACGCGTGCTCCAGCGGTTCACAGGCGTATAGTCCACGTGATTATCTCTAATGTGACCACACACACGCGTGCTCCAGCGGTTCACAGGCGTATAGTCCGCGTGATTATCTCTAATGTGACCACACACACGCGTGCTCCAGCGGTTCACAGGCGTATAGTCCGCGTGATTATCTCTAATGTGACCACACACACGCGTGCTCCAGCGGTTCACAGGCGTATAGTCCACGTGATTATCTCTAATGTGACCACACACACGCGTGCTCCAGCGGTTCACAGGCGTATAGTCCACGTGATTATCTCTAATGTGACCACACACACGCGTGCTCCAGCGGTTCACAGGCGTATAGTCCACGTGATTATCTCTAATGTGACCACACACACGCGTGCTCCAGCGGTTCACAGGCGTATAGTCCGCGTGATTATCTCTAATGTGACCACACACACGCGTGCACCAGCGGTTCACAGGCGTATAGTCCACGTGATTATCTCTAATGTGATCACACACACGCGTGCTCCAGCGGTTCACAGGCGTATAGTCCACGTGATTATCTCTAATGTGACCACACACACGCGTGCACCAGCGGTTCACAGGCGTATAGTCCGCGTGATTATCTCTAATGTGACCACACACACGCGTGCACCAGCGGTTCACAGGCGTATAGTCCGCGTGATTATCTCTAATGTGATCACACACACGCGTGCACCAGCGGTTCACAGGCGTATAGTCCGCGTGATTATCTCTAATGTGACCACACACACGCGTGCACCAGCGGTTCACAGGCGTATAGTCCACGTGATTATCTCTAATGTGATCACACACACGCGTGCTCCAGCGGTTCACAGGCGTATAGTCCACGTGATTATCTCTAATGTGACCACACACACGCGTGCTCCAGCGGTTCACAGGCGTATAGTCCGCGTGATTATCTCTAATGTGACCACACACACGCGTGCTCCAGCGGTTCACAGGCGTATAGTCCGCGTGATTATCTCTAATGTGACCACACACACGCGTGCACCAGCGGTTCACAGGCGTATAGTCCGCGTGATTATCTCTAATGTGACCACACACACGCGTGCTCCAGCGGTTCACAGGCGTATAGTCCACGTGATTATCTCTAATGTGACCACACACACGCGTGCTCCAGCGGTTCACAGGCGTATAGTCCACGTGATTATCTCTAATGTGACCACACACACGCGTGCTCCAGCGGTTCACAGGCATATAGTCCACGTGATTATCTCTAATGTGACCACACACACGCGTGCACCAGCGGTTCACAGGCGTATAGTCCGCGTGATTATCTCTAATGTGACCACACACACGCGTGCTCCAGCGGTTCACAGGCGTATAGTCCACGTGATTATCTCTAATGTGACCACACATCAGATGTGCTGGAACAGAGGAGATCAGATGAGCTGGAACAGAGGAGGTCAGATGAGCTGGAACAGAGGAAATCAGATGAGCTGGAACAGAGGAGATCAGATGTGCTGGAACAGAGGAGATCAGATGAGCTGGAACAGAGGAGATCAGATGAGCTGGAACAGAGGAGATCAGATGAGCTGGAACAGAGGAGATCAGATGAGCTGGAACAGAGGAGATCAGATGAGCTGGAACAGAGGAGATCAGACAGAGGAGATCAGATGTGCTGGAACAGAGGAGATCAGATGAGCTGGAACAGAGGAGGTCAGATGTGCTGGAACAGAGGAGATCAGATGAGCTGGAACAGAGGAGATCAGACAGAGGAGATCAGATGTGCTGGAACAGAGGAGATCAGATGAGCTGGAATAGAGGAGGTCAGATGTGCTGGAACAGAGGAGATCAGATGTGCTGGAACAGAGGAGATCAGATGAGCTGGAACAGAGGAGATCAGATGAGCTGGAACAGAGGAGATCAGATGAGCTGGAACAGAGGAGGTCAGATGTAATGGAACAGAGGAGATCAGATGTGCTGGAACAGAGGAGATCAGATGAGCTGGAACAGAGGAGATCAGATGTGCTGGAACAGAGGAGATCAGATGAGCTGGAACAGAGGAGATCAGATGAGCTGGAACAGAGGAGGTCAGATGTGCTGGAACAGAGGAGATCAGATGTGCTGGAACAGAGGAGATCAGATGAGCTGGAACAGAGGAGATCAGATGTGCTGAAACAGAGGAGATCAGATGTGCTGGAACAGAGGAGATCAGATGTGCTGGAACAGAGGAGATCAGATGAGCTGGAACAGAGGAGATCAGATGTGCTGGAACAGAGGAGATCAGATGTGCTGGAACAGAGGAGATCAGATGTGCTGGAACAGAGGAGATCAGATGAGCTGGAACAGAGGAGATCAGATGTGCTGGAACAGAGGAGATCAGATGAGCTGGAACAGAGGAGATCAGATGAGCTGGAACAGAGGAGGTCAGATGTGCTGGAACAGAGGAGATCAGATGAGCTGGAACAGAGGAGATCAGATGTGCTGGAACAGAGGAGATCAGATGAGCTGGAACAGAGGAGATCAGATGTGCTGGAACAGAGGAGATCAGATGTGCTGGAACAGAGGAGATCAGATGAGCTGGAACAGAGGAGATCAGATGAGCTGGAACAGAGGAGATCAGATGAGCTGGAACAGAGGAGATTAGATGTGCTGGAACAGAGGAGATCAGATGAGCTGGAACAGAGGAGATCAGATGAGCTGGAACAGAGGAGATCAGATGTGCTGGAACAGAGGAGATCAGATGAGCTGGAACAGAGGAGATCAGATGAGCTGGAACAGAGGAGATCAGATGTGCTGGAACAGAGGAGATCAGATGTGCTGGAACAGAGGAGATCAGATGTGCTGGAACAGAGGAGATCAGATGAGCTGGAACAGAGGAGATCAGATGTGCTGGAACAGAGGAGATCAGATGAGCTGGAACAGAGGAGATCAGATGAGCTGGAACAGAGGAGATCAGATGTGCTGGAACAGAGGAGATCAGATGAGCTGGAACAGAGGAGATCAGATGTGCTGCAACAGAGGAGATCAGATGAGCTGGAACAGAGGAGGTCAGATGTGCTGGAACAGAGGAGATCATATGTGCTGGAACAGAGGAGATCAGATGTGCTGGAACAGAGGAGATCAGATGAGCTGGAACAGTGGAGATCAGATGAGCTGGAACAGAGGAGATCAGATGTGCTGGAACAGAGGAGATCAGATGAGCTGGAACAGAGGAGATCAGATGAGCTGGACCAGAGGAGATCAGATGTGCTGGAAAAGAGGTCATCAGATGTGCTGGAACAGAGGAGATCAGATGTGCTGGAACAGAAGAGGTCAGACGAGCTGGAACAGAGGAGGTCAGATATGCTGGAACAGAGGAGATCAGATGAGCTGGAACAGAGGAGATCAGATGAGCTGGACCAGAGGAGATCAGATGTGCTGGAACAGAGGTCATCAGATGTGCTGGAACAGAGGAGATCAGATGTGCTGGAACAGAGGAGATCAGATGAGCTGGAACAGAGGAGGTCAGATGTGCTGGAACAGAGGAGATCAGATGAGCTGGAACAGAGGAGATCAGATGTGCTGGAACAGAGGAGATCAGATGTGCTGGAACAGAGAAGGTCAGATGAGCTGGAACAGAGGAGGTCAGATGTGCTGGAACAGAGGAGATCAGATGAGCTGGAACAGAGGAGATCAGATGTGCTGGAACAGAGGAGATCAGATGAGCTGGAACAGAGGAGATCAGATGAGCTGGAACAGAGGAGATCAGATGAGCTGGAACAGAGGAGATCAGATGAGCTGGAACAGAGGAGATCAGATGTGCTGGAACAGAGGAGATCAGATGTCCTGGAACAGAGGAGATCAGATGAGCTGGAACAGAGGAGATCAGATGAGCTGGAACAGAGGAGATCAGATGAGCTGGAACAGAGGAGATCAGATGTGCTGGAACAGAGGAGATCAGATGTGCTGGAACAGAGGAGATCAGATGTGCTGGAACAGAGGAGATCAGATTAGCTGGAACAGAGGAGATCAGATGAGCTGGAACAGAGGAGATCAGATGAGCTGGAACAGAGGAGATCAGATGTGCTGGAACAGAGGAGATCAGATGTGCTGGAACAGAGGAGATCAGATGTGCTGGAACAGAGGAGATCAGATGAGCTGGAACAGAGGAGATCAGATGTGCTGGAACAGAGGAGATCAGATGTGCTGGAACAGAGGAGATCAGATGTGCTGGAACAGAGGAGATCAGATGTGCTGGAACAGAGGAGATCAGATGTGCTGGAACAGAGGAGATCAGATGAGCTGGAACAGAGGAGATCAGATGTGCTGGAACAGAGGAGATCAGATGTGCTGGAACAGAGGAGATCAGATATGCTGGAACAGAGGAGATCAGATGAGCTGGAACAGAGGAGATCAGATGAGCTGGAACAGAGGAGATCAGATGTGCTGGAACAGAGGAGATCAGATGTGCTGGAACAGAGGAGATCAGATATGCTGGAACAGAGGAGATCAGATGTGCTGGAACAGAGGAGATCAGATGAGCTGGAACAGAGGAGATCAGATGTGCTGGAACAGAGGAGATCAGATGTGCTGGAACAGAGGAGATCAGATGTGCTGGAACAGAGGAGATCAGATGTGCTGGAACAGAGGAGATCAGATGTGCTGGAACAGAGGAGATCAGATGTGCTGGAACAGAGGAGATCAGATGAGCTGGAACAGAGGAGATCAGATGTGCTCCTACAGTCACATTCACATCCAGACTCAAAACACTTCTGTTTAGCTATGCATTTACTGAATGAGCACTGTGCCACTGTTCGTCCGACTGTTTGCACTGTATTTTATTTCCTTTTTATTCTAAACTGTTTTAATTCATCTTATTTATTTTTATTATTTTTATTCCTTCTATGTAAAGCACTTTGAATTACCATTGTGTATGAAATGTGCTATATAAATAAACTTGCCTTGCATGTGTCAGCTGATCCAAAAATGCACATTTTACTTGTATTTACAACTGTCTTTATTTGTACAAAATGCTGCAAATTCATGTAATTCTGGATTTTACTAATGCATTTATTAATCAATTTGAGTCTAAATTCATCCCATACACAACACACACTGCTCTCATGCTTCTGACGCCTCACTGTCCTCGGTTCACTGTCTGATTCCTGCCGAACTGTCTCTCACACAGATGGCCACCTTCTTCAGCAACAGCCTGGATTTCCTGGCGTCGTGTCCCGGCTACGGTCCGCGAGGAGGCGTCCTGAACCCGCTGCAGGCCCACAGCGTGATGGAGAACAAGAGGCGCGCCGCCACATACATGAGCGCCATCAGGAAGGTCACAGTCTTTATTACTTTCCTTTAAAGTACAGGTCAAGCTTTGAATTTGGAAGGAAATGAGGGAAAAATGGACTCCCACAAAGTAGAAAAATATAAAAACAAGATAAAAGTGCATAAGTAACATTTCAGGTATAGATTGGCCATTGCATTGGTCCTCTATTGAAACGGTTGGATATTCTCAGTGTTTTTTCGAGGGAAAGCCCCTTCCTCTATGCTGTTCTTGCTGATCACATGCCTGATTGCAATAGTCCAGTCAGGAAATGGAGAGGTTCTTAAAGGGATACTTCAGGATTTAGCATTAAGCTTTGTATTAGTAGAAAACCTGTAGTTTTTTCAAATTACCATGCTTTCCACCCTCATATCCCCCTGAGACGAGAGATTTATGTATTTTTTGTCTGGAAAAAATCCTCTGATGACGCAAAAATCGTCATTTTGCGTCATCGGAGGATTTTTTGGCCAGAGGCTAAAAAACAGAGGAACAGAGGAGATCAGATCAGAGATCAGAGGAGATCTTCTACAGCCAGTAGAAGGAGCTGTCCCGCATGTTCTCAACCCGCCCATAGAGGGTGGGATCTCACTCACAGAATGTACACATAGTGTCAGACATATTTTTTGGAAGCTAAGCTAGCAGGCTCTTGTTCTGTGGAGAAAGCGGAGTAACTTAGTAGGAGAAAGCTGAGTAGTAGGGGTTACCATTCATCCTCTTTTTCCCGGACATGTCCGGCCGTCAAGATCGTACAAAATGTCTGGGATTCAGCTTTTGCTTTCTGCAGTCGCCATTCATTGTTTACATGCACACCTTTTGTTTCAATCTAACTGAATTCATTCCGATTGGTGAATCTGAATGTCGTGTTTACATGAACGCTAAACAAGTGATCGGTTGATGTGCGTTTTAATATTGCTAAGAAAATTCCCGCTCCTCCGTGAGAGATACGAGACCAGTGCGTCTCACAGGTGTCGCTCATCAGTAATCACGCCACCAGCCTCGCGCCGTTCTCCCGCGGCCCTCACTCGTCCTGCTCGCCACAGTAAACATGACTCAAGTCGTTCTCCCGCGGCCCTAGCCTCGTCCTGCTCGCCACAGTAAACATGACTCGTGTCGTTCTCCCGCGGCCCTCACTCGTCCTGCTCGCCACAGTAAACATGACTCGTGTCGTTCTCCCGCGGCCCTCACTCGTCCTGCTCGCCACAGTAAACATGACTCGTGTCGTTCTCCCGCGGCCCTCACTCGTCCTGCTCGCCACAGTAAACATGATGAATGGCGACTGTAGAACGCAAAAGCCGAATCCCGGACATTTTGGGCGATCTCGAAATCCCGGGCAGACTCATCACGGAGACTCACTAGTAGCCTAGACTTATTGTTTAACTACTGCGCTCCGTTACCGGTAGGCGTGGCCTCCTAGGGCAGCGAAGCAAGTGCATTCTGGGAGTTGTTGTCTTTCATCCACATAAGCCAAAAATACATTTTCTGGCTTTTCTCAGTCTAGAAAGCTCCAAATTCAAAAATAATTTCACATTTCTTCTACATAAATGACCCATTTTAAATACACATTCATCTTTCCAGAGGTGAAGTATCCCTTTAAGCACTTGATCTTGATATGATGTTTTTTCAGTGACGGAGATATATTCACTGATAGTTACAGTGTTTTCTCTCACTGTAACACAGCCTCTTGTAGCTAATTGAGTTATTTGACGGTCAGCATCGGTCAAAGCACAATATATTTGACAATCGTGGAAAGCACCTCACAAAATAAATGGACAGCTACAAGGCCTATTTGCACAGTTCAGTCCTGTGAATGTTGGTGTGTTTTCTTGTGTTTTCAGGTCAGATCAGAATCGGTGCCGTACAGAGAAGCTTTAGCAAACCGACATGTTCTGACGAGCTCTTCTGAGAGTCGAGAGGGACTCATGCAGCAGGTACCTGAACCCGTCTGTCTGTCTGTCGGTCTGTCCAACCGTCCGTCTGACGGGGTGTGTGTTTGTCAGGTTGTCCAGAGTCAGGAGAAGATGTGTCGTCTGGAGCAGGAGAAGGAGCACTGGCTGCTGGAGGCTCAGCTGGGTCAGGTGCGTTTACAGAAAGAGACTCAGCGCATCGCTCAGCTGGAGGCTCAGATCCTCGCTGGGTTTCCAGCAGAACCACACAGCGCCGCTCAGATCCTCTCCGGGGCTCCAGCAGAACCACACAGCCCCGCTGACGGACACGGTGCTGCCCGTCCTGATAGTCCAGAGCCCGTCCAGGACACCAGCCTGGTGAGTTACCTAACCTACCTACCTAACCCTGGTGAATCCATGGTTCATCTCATCAGACACACCTGGACATGTTTTAAACAGAAGAAAATGTGCCGTGTTGATTGTGTGTAAGTGCAGGCCTTGCGTATAGTACTGTAAATGCATCAGAAATCATGGAATCCAACAGAATTATGAATAATGACTACATCAACACTTTTCTTTTCCATAAGTTTCCATGTATAGTAGATTTGTCAAAACTCTGTACCAAGCCGTTACTGAAATTGTAACAATGCAATGATACCAGGCTTTCTACAGCACTGGTAGTAGAGAGCCTCCCTGATAGACGACTGCATTCAGACGCTCCTGTGTGTGTTTGTGAAAGGTTGAGCCAATCACAGACATGATTTCATGAACATAGTGGTGATCAGAGGTGTTTAAGTTAGTCAGGAATCCATTTAGAGGTTCTCTTTTTAATATCCATTCGGTATCTCACTAAAGAACGCCTCTGGCGTGACCGACTGTGGAAGCACCAATTACACCACATCTGTCAGACTGACAGACCAATCAATACAGTGATCAGGTAGTCCCGATTCCCTGGTATATAACTCGCTGCAGCCACTGCTGCGTCATTCTATGCATATCCTCTTCACCGTGAAGATTGTGGAAGCTGTACTCACTGACGCATTTTGGATTTACTGCTTAACGGTATACAGACGAAGCCGACCGATAACGTCGCAAATGCGGAAAATCTATATATTGCTGTAAGGATTGCATTTTCTTGCGAGTGTGGGAAAACGTCTACTTCAAGGCGAGTTTTTCCACCCCTAAGGGAATTAAGAGCCTTACCTTCGAATCTAATACGATTCAGTTTGTATTAGATACCAAAAATAAGAGATTATTTTCAGAATTACTCTGTATACACTGCTCCGGGATAGTAAACCTACACGTCACGGTGAGAGTTTTCCAAACGAAGAGAGTGGAGAGTGATGGCCACGGCTAGAACAGCAGAGAGCATGGGAGGAAAGGACGCTCCCCTCGCATGTGCTCCTGTGGCCTATGGATTTTGGCGAGAGATTCACATTCGCTCTGTATATCATGCTTGGGTGTTAGGCATGCCCAAGCGGCGGTATCGAACCCAGTGGGCTGCCCTAACTGTTCTGGTTTTCCTACTAAGATCCGTGAAAGGAGACTTAGAGACTCAGCCCAGAGAGGAGATAAACAGCCTCCTGAGCCGGGTACCTGGGGTGAGATTATGGACGCAGAGTCCCCGGACCTCCCCCTCTCTTTGGAGATGCCCTCGCGGGTATAGTGGGGAAGATGATGATGAAGATGAGGAATTATCCCTCATATTATCAATTATCCAATTATCCCTATATCTTCTAGACGGAAGCACCGTCCTTCCAATCCCCAAGGGGGCAAGAAGAGGCGGGCTAGATAGGAATGAGCCTCGTTTACCACAGGGGGGGACAAAGAGCAGCTCCTAGGGTTTTCTGCTCCACCCCCCCTTAGAGTTCAACACTTTTCTTCCTCCCCCGGGGAAACAAAGAAAGTTAAGTGTGAATGGCCCCAGTTCAAGCGTTTCAATGGCCAGTTCAGCAGGTTCATTCACCATTATGAGAGGAATGGTGGCACAAGTTCCCATGGTGCCCCCTGCGATTATTCCCCTACCTCCACCCACGGGGTTAATGATGAGGTCAGGAGAGGATGTTTGCACAAGCAAAAGTTGTGTGAAAATAAAAGAAATCAAAGACGCTTATTTCCATATAGACATTTTTCCTCCTCACAGGAAATTTAGCAGGTTTTCTTTTCAGGGCAAAGCCTACGAGTATTTGAGGATCCCATTCGATTTGTGTCTAGCTCCAAGAGTATTTACCAAATGTTAAGTAACCTGACATTTTGTTCAGTGCAGCCTCACCAATCCTTTCATAGTTACTGACAAACACACTATGTAGATTATTTCACCGTTTTAAAAATGCAAAATGGTTCACTTGTGTGATGCGCAGACATGATGCGTGAGAGTTGAGCAGTATTCAGGCGTGCGGCTCAGGGATTCACAGGAACTGCATAAGCAGGTTCACATGTGTTTGAAAAGCTCTGGAAACACTGATTGTTTTAAAAATGTATATATATATATATATCAATTTTTAAATTTTGGTGCAGCTGTAATTTTTTTTATCATATGTCTCTATTATCAGGTCGGCATTTTAACCATCACGTCCTGCGGCGAGAGCGTATGTATTCATGTTTTACTTTCTTAAATAACCTTATCTGCATATTCAGATTCATACATCATATTCTATATCATAATCATCTCTCCAGCCTATTTGAAACCATGGTGCTAAATGAAGCCGCTCATGTCATGTTGATGATGATGATGTTTGTGTGCCGTAGGCTGCAGATCAGGAATCTCGTGAGCATCTGATCAAAACTCATTACATGAGCCGCGTTTCAGAACTGACTTCTCAACTGCAGATTTGTGACAGCAAAGCCGTCCACTTCCACGCTGAGGTCAGTACTCAGCACACCACAGTACTCAACACTTATAACTCTGTCTCCTCTCCACCAATAAGCTGGTGTGTGTGGGGGTGCTGGCGCAATATGGCTGCCGTCGCATCATCCAGGTGGATGCTGCACATTGGTGGTGGTTGAGGAGATTTCCCCGTTCTATGTAAAGCGCTTTGAGTACCCAGAAAAGCGCTATATAAATGTAACGAATTATTATTATTAACACACCACAGTCCTCAACGCACCACAGTCCTCAACGCGCTCAGTCCTCAACGCACCACAGTCCTCAACGCGCTCAGTCCTCAACGCGCTCAGTCCTCAACGCACCACAGTCCTCAACGCGCTCAGTCCTCAACGCACCACAGTACTCAACACACCACAGTACTCAACCACCACAGTCCTCAACGCACCACAGTCCTCAACGCGCTCAGTCCTCAACCACCACAGTACTCAACACACCACAGTCCTCAACACACCACAGTACTCAAAACACCACAGTCCTCAACACTCTCAGTCCTCAACGCACCACAGTCCTCAACGCGCTCAGTCCTCAACGCACCACAGTCCTCAACACACCACAGTCCTCAACACTCTCAGTCCTCAACGCACCACAGTCCTCAACGCGCTCAGTCCTCAACGCACCACAGTCCTCAACACACCACAGTCCTCAACACACCACAGTACTCAAAACACCACAGTCCTCAACACTCTCAGTCCTCAACGCACCACAGTCCTCAACACTCTCAGTCCTCAAGACACCACAGTCCTCAACGCGCTCAGTCCTCAACGCGCTCAGTCCTCAAGAGACCAGTCCTCAACGCGCTCAGTCCTCAAGACACCAAAGTACTCAACACTCTCAGTCCTCAACGCGCTGTCCTCAACACGCTCAGTCCTCAACGCGCTCAGTCCTCAACACACCACAGTCCTCAATGCACCACAGTCCTGAACACACTACAGTCCTCAATGCACCACAGTCCTCAACACTCTCAGTCCTCAACGCACCACAGTCCTCAACACGTTCAGTCCTCAACACTCTCAGTCCTCAGCACACCACAGTCCTCAGCACTCTCAGTCCTCAACGCACCACAGTCCTCAACACACCACAGTACTCAAAACACCACAGTACTCAACACACCACAGTACTCAACGCACCACAGTCCTCAACACTCTCAGTCCTCAAGACACCACAGTCCTCAACACTCTCAGTCCTCAAGACACCACAGTCCTCAACATGCTCAGTCCTCAACGCGCTCAGTCCTCAACGCGCTCAGTCCTCAACACGCTCAGTCCTCAAGACACCAAAGTACTCAACACTCTCAGTCCTCAACGTGCTCAGGCCTCAAGACACCACAGTACTCAAGACTCTCAGTCCTCAACGCGCTCAGTCCTCAACACTCTCAGTCCTCAACGCACCACAGTCCTCAACACGTTCAGTCCTCAACACGCTCAGTCCTCAACGCACCACAGTCCTCAACACACCACAGTACTCAAAACACCACAGTACTCAACACACCACAGTCCTCAATGCACCACAGTCCTCAACACTCTCAGTCCTCAACGCGCTGTCCTCAACACGCTCAGTCCTCAACACACCACAGTCCTCAACGCACCACAGTCCTCAACGCACCACAGTCCTCAACACTTTCAGTCCTCAACGCACCACAGTCCTCAACGCACCACAGTCCTCAACGCACCACAGTCCTCAACACTCTCAGTCCTCAACGCACCACAGTCCTCAACACTCTCACCCCCAATTTCCACCAACTGCGGAACGGCTGCGGAGTCAATAGGTTTCCATTAAAGTCAATGTGTGCATTTTCACTGACTGCGGAACGGCTGCGTTTCGACTCCGTCCCAGCTCCGGCGACCGCAGCCCTCCGGAGAAGATATGCAGAGTTTCTATTTTTGCTGGATGCCGGAGAGCGCCGTAGGAAGTCGAGCACAGAAACTAAATAAAACATCCGGTAATTTCCAAAATAAAAATATAGTTTTCCCTTTTCCAACAAGAACAATAGTTAACTTTATTTACACAGCCTACTACTTTCCCAATACATTCAAAAAGGAACCCAAATAAACATTTAGCATTTTATAAGTTGATTATATTTAATTATAAATATTGTACTAGAATCACAATAATCTCCACAAAAAAGGGAGATCAGAAGGTCAGCACATAGTTGTTTCCCCTGTACACCTCTGGATGTAAACAAACTGTTGCTGGTTTTGTGGTTCTGTTTATAGAAACTACATCCTGTTATATCGCGCAATCAAACGTAAATTCGCGAGATATCGTGTGTCCTCGTGACTTCAGCTGTCAGTCATGGCCCCAGCCGTTCCGCAACAAATCCGTATCTGGTAGGTATTGAAGGACGGCGGAGCACGGGTCCGACACGCAGCGGAGCCGATCCGCAGCCGTTCTGCAGTTGGTGGAAATCCGGGGTGAGTCCTCAACGCACCACAGTCCTCAACGCACCACAGTCCTCAACACACCAAAGTACGCAGCACTCTGTGCTCAACGCACCACAGTCCTCAACGCACCACAGTCCTCAACGCACCACAGTCCTCAACACTCTCAGTCCTCAAGGCACCACAGTCCTCAATGCACCACAGTCCTCAACGCACCACAGTCCTCAACACTCTCAGTCCTCAACGCACCACAGTTCTCAACACACAACAGTCCTCAACGCACCACAGTCCTCAACACACCACAGTAGTCAACGCACCACAGTCCTCAACACTCTCAGTCCTCAACGCACCACAGTCCTCAACACACAACACGTTCAGTCCTCAACACCCTCAGTCCTCAACACGCTCGGTCCTCAACACCCTCAGTCCTCAACACCCTCTGTCCTCAACACGTTCAGTCCTCAACACCCTCAGTCCTCAACACCCTCAGTCCTCAACACGCTCGGTCCTCAACACCCTCTGTCCTCAACACCCTCAGTCCTCAACACCCTCTGTCCTCAGCACACTCTGTCCTCAACACGTTCAGTCCTCAACACCCTCTGTCCTCAGCACACTCTGTCCTCAACACGTTCAGTCCTCAACACGCTCAGTCCTCAACACACTCAGTCCTCAACACGTTCAGTCCTCAACACCCTCAGTCCTCAACACGCTCAGTCCTCAACACGCTCAGTCCTCAACACTCTCAGTCCTCAACACCCTCAGTCCTCAACACCCTCAGTCCTCAACACCCTCAGTCCTCAACACGCTCAGTCCTCAACACCCTCAGTCCTCAACACGCTCAGTCCTCAACACCCTCAGTCCTCAACACCCTCAGTCCTCAACACCCTCAGTCCTCAACACCCTCAGTCCTCAACACGCTCAGTCCTCAACACCCTCAGTCCTCAACACCCTCAAGTCCTCAACACCCTCAGTCCTCAACACGCTCAGTCCTCAACACCCTCTGTCCTCAGCACGCTCAGTCCTCAACACCCTCAGTCCTCAACACCCTCAGTCCTCAACACCCTCTGTCCTCAGCACACTCAGTCCTCAACACCCTCAGTCCTCAACACCCTCAGTCCTCAACACCCTCAGTCCTCAACACGCTCAGTCCTCAACACGCTCAGTCCTCAACACGCTCAGTCCTCAACACACTCAGTCCTCAACACGTTCAGTCCTCAACACCCACAGTCCTCAACACTCTCAGTCCTCAACGCGCTCAGTCCTCAAGACACCACAGTACTCAACACACCAAAGTATTCAACGCGCTCAGTCCTACACGTGCTCAGTCCTCAACACACCACAGTCCTCAACGCTGTAAGGACTGGGCTAAAAGGGTGAATCTGAATAACTAAATACATCCTGCTAAAGACCCAAAAAGCCTGGAATGTAAATTTACACACACACACACGCACACACATACGCATCCCCCACAAGTGAAGACCACACTCAGGACAGAGCGTGGTGTCCAGTTACGAGACATTTTTATGACGGACTGGAATGTCCCAAAGAAGGTGATTCTAAAGAGAAAGAAACTTCTCTTTTTAAAAGACATTTAACCAGATATATTTGATGTGTTTTTATGTGTGTCCAGTTGCCCATGTCACATTGGAATGACTGTGATTCTATCGTAGCTTAGAGTGAATTATAAATACCTTCATTATGCATTTTAAATATAACTGTCTATTTCCATAACTTATACACATAGTTCTGGACACCTCCCGAATGCTTTCGGTGTGATCAATCAGAATACGTACAGTAATATCCAGTAAAATATAGTTTACTATGTTTTCCATCTTTGGAGTGAAAAGAGACCAAAACTATCATCACTGGTGTTCTTAGTTAACAGCGTTTACGACCCAAAGGAATGTTCACAGAACTGTGGCTCTCTCTGAATTCTAACCAAGGAGGAGAAATGAATCCTGTATTCATATATATATGCTATTATACATCCACTTGAGAATTGTATGAACGATGTATCTAAGTTCCCTATTTCATGAGTTGCCTTTCTGTGGTTTGGTCTATGTTTCTCGACAACTCTAATGGGATAATGTTTCAAACTTTGCCAACTAATGTTTAACCAAATCCATTTGTGGCAAGTTTGGTCTCGATAAACTCCAATCTTCGTTCCCCATTTGTTAATTGACATTACATTTTGCTAAACTTTGTGACACATTAGTATTATAAGAATTGTGAAGATTCTTCTCTTAAACACCCAATGAAACTAGTGATTTAAATGCCTGGTTATAACACAAAGGGTCATAAAACCTCCCTCCAAAGGGACAGCTCCTGATTGGACCCTCTTCCAAAAGAAGGCGGAAACGTCAGGTCTTCAAAAGGACAAACCGCAGGCTAAAGCCTTCTCTTACTCCGCTGGTCTCCTCGTCTGCTGAACAATGTAGTCGTTGACTCGATTTCCCCTCGGGAAATCCCTTTTTGCTCTTTTGTTTCGTCTAAAAGTTTCGTCTTTTTCTTAAGTGTCCTACCAAGTTCACCTCCCCAAAGGAGGCGAACTTAGCCGATCTATTTTCTTTGGTAATGTTACCTCCAAGACTTTAAACCTC